TAAGTCTGCTAATTATTTAAAAATAACCATTTTTGAGAAATTTATGAAAAACAACACATGCTAATAAATAGAACAAATACTCAATTCTACTAAATAATTCCATGCCTTTTTCCTTTGTTTCTCTCCTTACCAATCTTCTCCCAAATTCTATTACTATAAGGTTATAGACAGCTAGAAACAATTCCTTTTCAAGCCTCAAACATGAGAGCTCAACATTTTCTCATGCTATGCTATCAAAGTGCCCTTTTCTATACCACATCAAAGCTCCCATCAACCAAATTTCTGACTTTTGACAGCAAATATTCACATTTCGCGACTTGAAGTCGTCTTCGAATGGTGTTTTGTCCAGTTTTGTTCATTTAGTATTTGGATAGTGGGAAGAATTTGGACATGACTCAACTGGTCTTCCATCACTGCCCAAGCATGCAGCCTCCCAACGCCCCATTTGGACTTTGGGGCACCCCATTTGGAGTTGTCCCATTAATGTTTGTCAAATTTTGGATCAAATTAAGACACTTGATCACTTTTTCCTGCAAACCCCACAAAAGAAAAGAGACAAAAATGAAAATTTGTTACGTAAATTGACTGAGTTTGAGCTTTAGTGTAGTGGGGTACTAATATAAATTACCTTGTCTACTCCCATGAAACTGGGCAGTGCCTCGTTCATGCCCGTTGCTTGTACTGAAACAGACATTGCTACTGCTGCGGCTATTTCGGAAGGACTGAATTCCAAAAAGTCAATACCTGCATATAGTGTTAGCCAAGCAATGAGTCGAACACTTCAAATTTTACGACCATAGTAGTATAATATATCCATCAAGAAAGGTTTCTCAAGTTGTGTCCCAACCACACGACTCAATCTCTCGAATCCTATGAATCAGTATCTGATGATGTGTACCTTTAATTGTGCTTAAGATGATTTCAATTGATCTAGGGATCAAATGCATCGGTGGGAATTCATCCTTCTTGATCTTATGGAGGAAATAGTCGATGAAGCTACATGGAGTATAAGCTTGCATTTTCCA